TATCATTTGTTTTAAAAGTAATAGTATTTCTCTATCATTTCCTTCATAAATATGTGAGCCTTAAACGAATGCTGTGTTTATTTGCTCATATCAGTTCACAAACAGAAAACGCTTGGCATTTATGGTTACTTTGGTCTGGTTTACAAATGTTTATTCACAAGTGTGTGTTTCGTATGAACGGAATATTAAACTAGACAACATTGATCATAAATAAATTACCTGTTAACCAACCCAGGTGTAATATTCAACATTCTGAAACACCAATATATCTTTATACACCTTTCATCTCTAATATAATGATATTTTAATGACTTTTGTTACGTTGTTTTCTCTCTTTTTAAAACGTTCCACAAGCATGATGAGAAAGGACAAACATAGGCCTATACACATTACTGCAAAGATACTGAACACCGTCGGTAGGCCTATGCTGGATCCCTCTAAAGACTGGCAAGCAGGTGATGTTTTTGTCCTCAAATCTCTCCACCATCGACTAAGTAAACCACTTGCCTGTATGTCGACTATTCTGTAAATAGATAAAAAAAAACTAACAGTTGAGTGTATTCAATAAATTTGTTTGATTTAATATTTTAGCGTTTTCATGAGAGTAATAATACAAAATGTATGTGATTGGTAATACTAGTGATGATACTTCCACTAATAACGGTAATGATGGTGATGATTGTGGGTGTGGTGATGATTATTATCAGCATGATTATCACTATTATTTTCATTATTATCACTATTATTGTTTACTATGGTTATCATAACTATTCAGATAATTCTTATCATGACAGTCGTTAATATAATCAACTGATCTTTAATCTTATCATCATTACTGTTGTTACTGGCATGAAATTCCTCATCAGAATCACTAATATAGGCCATATCATAACGTTATTGCTAATACCATTATCAACATTTATGAGAATGGTTCATCAGTCATTTTCACCATTATTAATGTTATCATCATATTATAATCAATCATATATCACGCAGGTTCAGATACAGAAGACTTACATCTTATTGAAGATAGGGACCAGAGGCGAATCCTTCCGAACGGTAAATGACGAAAGCTGATTAAACCCCAAGAGAGGAATGACATGGTACTGGCAGTCACGCTTATACCGAAGGAGGACGGATTCTGTTTCGATAAACAGATAGGTTTCTTGGAGAACTCGACGCAAACCTTCTGTTGGATCCTTTACCAGCGACCTTCTTTTGTTTTGTTCAATAGTTTTCCACAGCTTCCGATGGGTGTCGTCGCTGGACAGCTAATGAGGCAAAATTGATATACTTACTAATACCTGTTTAGTACGTTCTGTGCTGAGTAAGATCAAGAGAAGCATATTCAACTCCTCTATTGCAATGTTTCACATATTTCCATCAGCTCTTTCGAAAGTAAATCTCCCTTACTCTTATATATTCGGACATCGCCGTTCCGTCGGTCCAACCCGTGGGAATCCCCAACTGGTCCACCTTCTTCAGGGTAATGTATTGCGGCAAGGAGTGTCCCGCCGCTAGTGCAGAGACGAGGTAGCTGGTGTAGTGGGCCATGAGGAGGACACCCGACAGCATCGCCGTCAGGAAAGCGATCCGAGCTCCCACCGTGCGGAAGTTTAGCCAACTGCCTGAAAGCATCTTTGCAATTCGCAGAGTTGATCTACGGCCAATTTGTTAAAATTGTACGAGGCCCGACCCAATGAATATTCACATTTACGGACATGCATATCTGTCTATCTGTCTGATAGATATACATTTATCTATCTATCTGTCCAGGAGTTATGCAGGTCTAGACTGATAGACAAGCATCTATTTCTGCGTATATGCATATTTGTATGATGAATGTTCACTGGGTCGGGCCTCGCACAATTTTAACAAACTGGCAGCTAGAATCACTTGCTTAACCATATTGCAATAAATCTATTTGGAACTGAAATATTTAGTGAGTGCGTTATCTATTCAATGTACATTGCATTCGCTCACTCCTCCAAATCCTTCAAGCTCTTCCTCAAAATTTGTAACGCGAGGTAAGTATTACAGTGTAAGAACTTTGCAAGGCTGAAAATCTGGATGCTACGCCCGCCTAAGACAAGACACAACACTTCATGATATGAATATCATTGTATATTTTGAGTTAATCTATTCATAGAATTCTATAACTGGATGTCATGTCCTTTCTTCTGTAAAGAAATGTATTATCACTTTAGTATATCTAGAGCTGTGGGTATTGTAGATATGAATACGAATTAAAACTGAATTGTTTTAACTATAGGATATCCATTTACCGCCCCCCCCCAAAAAAAAAAAAAGAAAAACAGAAACAACAAAAAAACAGCGGTTTGTATCCATACTCCTAACCTTAATTGAGACATCCTTAACACCCCCAATTGAGACGCGTTAACACAATTTTTTTTTTCTTGTAAGGTCTTTGAGAAATAAAACCCGGCATACCTTGGGCTACGATACATCCACTAACAAGAGTGAAAGACTCTGAGAGCGATATCTTCTCTTCAGCGGGAAGGATTGCCGTGATAACATGTATCACCAGCATCATGGCCACGACTGATAACAGCAGCAGTAACCACACATGCCCATGGAATTCTTGGATGTATGTCTTCCACTGAAAGTCACTGTAAGAAGGCCGCTTCATGACGACCATATATCTGGGAATGAGTTTAGTGAATGCATCAGTCGTTACGTGTGTCAAAGCACACACACACAACACGTTTGTGTGTTAGCTCTCTCTTAACCTGCGAGAAATGACAATGCCACATAATTGTATTATAATTTACTGCATTCCGTTGTGGGTGATGCCACACCTTACTTATGTTACGACACGGTTTTCCTTCTCTTTATTAATTTATTTATTCACAGAATCTGAACACCTGTCACAATCCCCTCGTCCCCACTAAAACAATACTCATAAATCAATTTATGGACGGCAACTTTTACATTCTATTATCAGTCGCTCTGTCATGCCACAGCCTTACACAACCCCGTGGAACTGAACTAACCTGGAAAATCCTGTGCTAACTAGGTAGTCGATGTCACGGGCCCGTTCCTTCGTGACGTCGAGCAGTGCGACGGCTATGTCAGCTCGGTCCTCCACCAGATCTGCAACCATTCCTGTCCACTTTCCATTTTCGAAGCTCCCGTACTTTCGGTCTATTGGAATATGGCATGTAGACCTACAAAAATTACGTAATTAGGTAAAATTGCAGATTCAACATATTTGCGCTGCAATAAGCTGTCTCCATTCATATTTTGCAATACCGAAAGTAATACGTTAATATTCAGGTTAACCTTGATGTCATATAGAAAATAATTTGCATTTCAGCAGATATATCAGTATACTAAACTACATGAATATTGAAATCTTACGTAAAGTTTGCAATCTCTTGAATCAGGTTGAATAAGTTTCCAAAGACTCCTCCCAGACCCAGACTGCCATCATGGTGCCGTGTTACCAATGTGGTTGTGTCCTGATAAATATTTGCTACAGATTGGCGATTAAAAAAAAAGTGAGACTTAAAACTATGACTATCAGTTTAAGATAGACATCGAAGTACAAGATTTAAAAATTCACCGAGTGTGTGACTTACTGGCAGAACTGTGCACCGAAGATGGAGACCCGTTAAATCCGAACGCCTCTGTGCGACGTCACGCTCGGGCGCTATGAGCTGACCAAAACTCATACTTCCCTGAGATAAATACCTCTTCGGCAGCACATTAGCCCCAGGAATGGTTATCAAGCGTAAGCCGGTTTCGGAAATCGACTGCCGGCCCAGGACCCAGGCACCGACTCGAACCAGTTTTGGCCTTCCGCCTTGCAAGATCTGGTAACTCTCCCAAAGTGAGGCCGATGTCATATCTTCAGAAAACACGACCAAAGTTACCTGGAAGTAATTATTCGAAAGGAAACGAAAGCATCAATGTCATTAGATTACTCGACATTTAATTTCCAGTTTTAGTGTCATGTGTGGGGAAGCTGAAATTGAGCACCTTTGAATATTGTAAACAGTGTGGTTAGAGAAAAATAATTGGTACCTTGTTGTTGAGTGGAAGGTAGAGGGAAGTTAGTTGCTCTTGCATGTCTTGATTAGTCAAAATTAACCACTGATCGTGTTCGAGACTTTCAGTAAATGTCTGAAAATGCGAAAATTATTAATAATAAAACAACAACAACAATGATTTACGAAATTATTTCGCTGGTTCAGGATTAACCTCGAACACGAACCTTAGAAAACTCTGCCGCAAGATTGTGGTCAGTCAGCTGTGCCACAACAAGTCCTGCGCACACCTTCTGGCAGCGCGGACTCGTGCTGTTGCCTCTAGCATGCAATGATAGAGTGAAGCCTTCTGTAGACCCAGCCTTTACTACAGACAAATACGACCGCGACCACTTGGCTAGTCGCGAGAAGGTACTCGTTATCCAAGAACGGTAGTCAGGGGCCATGGCGTCCTCATCTGGCAGAAAGGAGGAAAATAATATGGCTATGATTATTTAAAAAAACGTCTTAAAGATTATGGGGCTTTTAAGAGAGAAACTCACAGTCTGCATATTGACTTGATGGCTGAAGTATATTGCTTAAAATCAAAACAATCTCTGATTGACGAAGTGATAATGATTATGAGGATCATGATTAATATTTGCCAGAACATCTAAATTTGAATATTTTTTTTCTCTCGCTTGCTAAACACAGTAACTTTGTTGAGGTAGAAACCGGTATCATTATATATATATATATATATATATATATATATATATATATATATATATATAATATATATATATATATATATCAAGCTGCTAATGGATATTTTTTTTCTGAAAGACACGTACCCAGCCCAGTTTTATGTATTATTCTCTCTAAAACTAAGTGCTCGTAAGGTTTGAGAGCTCATATAATGAAAGTATGAGTTCATATTACAATATATATAAAACAGTATGTGTGCGTGTGATAAATATACATACATACATACATACATCATCATCCTTAGGAGCTAACGCCGACGGGGGAGCATAGCCGCATCCACCCTTCGTTTCTACCTTTGGGGGTCCGTCATGGCAAGCCGACAGGCAGGGACTCGGCCCATCTCAAGCTTCTCACTACAGGTTTGATTGATCTGCCCAAGCCACGACTTCCTAGGTCATACCACAGGCCTCCTCCACCTAAGGCTGTCTCTTACAGAGACAACCAGGTGGGCAGGATCATCTTGTGGGAAGCGAGCCAGGTTGCCATATAGCCTGAGTTGGCTATATGGCAACCTGGATTGTGCAGGTAGCAGGTCATGTGCCAGACTCACAGTGCAACTGTTGGTTGGACACGTGGTCTCGCCAACAGTACCTCATGGCCCTATTACAGAAGGCGTCAAGATGAGACTCCAAGGCACAGATAATGTCCAGGTTTCACTACCGTATAGCAAAACTGGCGTTATCAGAGCCTTGAAAACCTGTAGCTTGGTCCTTCTGCACAGGTACCGACATCTCCAAATACTATTGTTGAGAATGTTCATGACCCCTGCTGCTAGGCCAATCCGTCTGCTGACTTCTTGGTCTGACAGCCCAGAGTTATGAACTACATTACTAAGGTATGTAAAGCTCTTTGTGACTTCAGTGTCCTCACCGTAGGAATGTACCGACCGAACAGTTCTCTAGAAGATATCAAAGTCCTGGAGCTTGGTCTTGGTCCAGGAGACCTCTAGAAGCTTTGCTTCATTACTAAATGCATCAAGAGCCACCACTAAGAGTTGCTCCACAATGGCTTTGAACAGTAGCTCTGCCCAGTATCCAGTCCATGTAACTGCTGAAAAGTGTTGGTGCAAGGCGACAGCCTTTCCTCACTCATGAACTAACAGGAAAGAGCTCTACAGGCCCCCCAACATACTTTACAGCACTTTCAGTACTAGTATACAGGTTTGCTATTAGTCCAATAATCCTCTAGGGTGATCACTGAACTGCTGGGGAGGTTTGTAAGTGGACCTAGAGGGTAGCCACAATCAATCTATGGTCAGTACCACAGAACTCGGCACTCTCATGCACCCTGCCGTTCTGGGGGATCCTCCAACGAGTGCTGACGAGTATGTGGTCGATCTCCTTGGCTGCATTACCTGCATCGCTGTACCGCGTCCAACGATGTGGGTCTGAGCGCTGGTACCATGAGCCAGAAATCCTCAATTTCTGGGACCTTGCAAAATCCCAGAAAAGGAGGCTATTCTCGCTGCCGGCATCAACTCCCGAACCATGAGGACTGACAGACATCTCATAGCCAACTCGATCACAGCCAGATACCGCATTGAAGTCACCCAGAACAATACAAAGATCTCACTAGGGACAACTGTCTGACACAGATGCAAGTTTGGCGTAGAAAAACTCTCACGTCGAGTTTACAAACATTGGTAGGAGCGTACACAGCAATAAGAGACATGAAGGCAAATGTTAGCTTCAGTCTCCATACCATTATACACTCATCGACCTGAGTAACCTCTACCACCGAGGGCTGGAGTCTGTTGGAGACAGCTATGGCTACTCCCTGAAGATGGTGACCATCGCTGCGGTCTGACCAGTAATAGATGTAGCCACCTACACTGATTGTGCCACTGCCAGGTCTTTTCACCTCTGAGACAGCAGCCACCCC